TACTTCTGATAGAAAATAGAAATGCAAAATTAAGAAAGCCAGAAGAATACATGGAGAAGCTATCCTCTGTCAGAGGAAGTGAATCCAAAGGACCCGAGTCTTACTAACTGGATGATTTTAACATCTTCTACAACCTATGCTTTCTCTATTTGCCAACACTATTTATTTTAGTACTTTATAACTGCACCCCCCTCTCCTTTGATTGTTATTGAGCAAGATAGGGAAACCAACATGTGCATAAAATATTAAATAACGAAATACTGTTAGAATATTTGAGGGTAAGAACAGGACCCTATAGGGCCTTTCTGGAACAGACCCTCCCCCAAATCCTCTGCCAAAGTACCCAGATAATAGTATCTGATGCACATTTCCTGAGTCGTTTCACAAATGCTAAGTTGGAGAAGACTCTTGAGAGTCCCTTGGACAGCAAGGAGATCAAGGCAGTCCATCCTAAAGGAAATCAGTCCTGAATATTCATTGGAAAGCTGAAACTCCAATACTTTGGCCACCTGATGTGAAGAACTTACTGCGTGGAAAAGACCCTGATGCTGGGAACGACTGAAGGCAGGAGGAGAAGGGGACGACAGAGGATGAGATGGTTGGATGGCATCACCAACTCAATGGACATGAGTTTGAGCAAGTTTTGGGAGTTGATGATGGAAAGGGAAGCCTGGCATGCTGCAGTCCATGGGGTCGCAAAGAGTCAGACACGACTGAGTGACTGAACTGAACTGAAGAACAGGACTGATTAATAACCATGCCCTATATATCCATTTGATTAGTTCAAAGAGTAAAGGAAATTTATGTGCATATTTAGGAAAAAAGTTCTAAGCAGAGAAACTGAGAAGTACAAAGACCTTGAGGCTAGAACTTGCCTGATATGCTCAAGGAACAATAAAATATCTGCATCTATAGTATCTTAGGAAATAGACAATTTAGCATCAACGAGAGGGATAAGGCCATAACTTTATAACATTTCAAGCATCTTTAATTTCAGTTGCCCTGATTTGCCAGAGTAAACAACCTTTACTTTTCTAAGACTGAGAAGCCTTTAATTTTATAAAAGAAGCCTTTTTTTAAGGTGCGTTTATGTGTCATTCACTGAAAAGTGATCATGTTAAAATGCATTGTTCTCTCTTTTCTCCTTTACTATCAAAATCAGTTTCTTGTTTAAAATAAGCAAACTTACATATTTCAACATAAGAACATACAACAAAGTAAACACATCAATAGGTGATTTTATACTGAAGTAAAAATTAAACCTTTATTACTGAACTGGTTCAGAGTATTCCAAGGAAATGGGAACCTGAAAGATTAACACTTAGAAATATAATAGAGTTCTTGAACTTTAAAAATAAATAACCCTCTGGGTGGCCAGGGACAAAGATTAAGTCATTATAATGAGAAAAAAACAATTAGACCAGCCTCATACTGTTGCATATTCAATTGTAGAAGACTAAAAGAGCTACCTTTTAGGTCTCCTGAGATGTTCAAGGAAAAGAAGTTGAACCCAGTGATTTTTATATCCATCAGAGTTCTTTAAATATAAAAGTTACAAACAGACAAAAACTAGAAAACTACTGTTAATAAGTCTTTCCTGGTGGTTCAGATGGTAAAGCGTCTGCCTACAATGCGGGAGACCCTGGTTTGATCCTTGGGTCGGGAAGATCCCCTGGAGAAGACAATGGCAACCCACTCCAGTACTCTTGCCTGGAAAATCCCATGGATGGAGGAGACTGGTAGGCTACAGTCCATGGGGTTGCAAAGAGTTGGACAGGACTGAGCGACTTCACTTTCACTGTTCACGAACAATTTCTGAGAAAACTACTCTAAGACTGACTTTAACCAACCAAGAAATAACTTGAACAACTATGGCAACAGCACTGTTGGTGAACAATTAAGACTAAACTAGAGACTGGCTTAATAAGATATACCATAAATGTTGCATGTCCTAACAATATGACTAATAAAAATTGGGAGGAAAAAAAATGACCAAAAAGGGCTAGTAGTAGAATAAATTCAGATTGCCTCATCCACATTACTCAAAGTCTCGATATATTTAAATGATTTAAGTCACACAAAGTATGTTCTCAACCACAATGAAATTAGAAATCAGTAACAGAAAGACCCCTGGAAAACTGTTAGATGTTGGGAACTAAATAACAAACTGTTCAGTAACATATAGATCGCAGAAAACAAAAGGGCAAATTAGAAAGCATTTTGGACAAAACATAAAATAAAACCAAACATATCAATTTGTGGGATGTTGTTAGTGGTATGTAAGGGAAAATTTTATAGCACTAAATGGCTGGGAAAGATTGAGGGCGGGAGGAGAAGGGGACGACAGAGGATGAGATGATCGGATGGCATCACTGACTCAAAGGACATGAATTTGAGTTAACTGGGAGTTGGTGATGCACAGGGAGGCCTGCCGTGGTGCAGTCCATGGGGTTGCAAAGAGTCAGACATGACTGGGCAACTGAACTGACTCTATGAGAAGAGAAGAAAGGTCTTAAATCAATAACCTCAATCTTCCACTATAAGAAACTAGAAAAAGGACAAATAAAATCAAAGTAAGCAGACAAACAGGAATGAGAAAGGTCAAAGTGGAAATCAATGAAATAAAAACCAAGGGAAAAATACAGTAAAATGAATACTTTGAGACAATCAATAAAACTGATAAAATTAATAAACCTTTAGCCTGACTGATTGGGAAAAGAGAGAAGATATAAATTGCCAATATCAGAAAAGACAGAAATGGCATTACCACAGATTCTATAGATACTGAAATTATTAATAAGCAAATGTTATGAACAATTTTATCCCCACTAAATGTGACAACTTAAATGAAATGAACACATTCTATGAAAGACACAAATGATCAAGTTTTCTAAGAAACTGATAATCTAAATTGCCCCATGTCTATCAAAAGAATTGAAATTATTTTAAAAAAACATTCCAACAAAGAAAAATCCTGACTAGGTGACTGCATCAATGAACTTTATCAAATATTAAAGGAAGAAATATGACAATTTTATACAAACTTTTCCAAAAATTGAAGAGTAGGGAAAACTTTCCAACTTACTATATATAGTCAGCATTACTTTGAAACTGAAACTAGACAAGGGTTTTATAACATTACATATGAATATACTGTTTATTATTGTTGTTGTTTAGTTGCTAAGTCATGATTAACTCTTTGCAACCCCATGGGCTGTAGTTCTCCAGGCTTCCCTGTCCACTGAACTTCCCGTTTAAGAATACTGGAGTGGGTTGCCATTTCCTTCTCCAGGGGATCATCCCGACCCAAGGATCAAACTTGCGTCTCCTGCACTGGCAGGTAGATTCTTTACTGCTGAGCCACCAGGGAAGCCCATATTGTTTATTAAAAATTAGTAAACAATTTTTAAAACTCCCACCAGAATGTATCTTTTTTCATTATTTCATCTTGGGAAGAAATTCCAATCTTATTATCTGGGTTTTTTGTCAAGTTCAGGGAAATATTATTAAATTATATTTTACAGCTTCATTGTCTTACCTCTATTCTCTTTCTAGAACTTCTAGTCCTGTCTCCCATGACTTTTTTCATTTATTTTGTGTTTTTCTGTCTTTTTGTTCTAGACTCTAGGGGACAAGAATCAGAAAGATACAGGTTCTAATGGCTAGCTATTACAACCTGAAAAAGTCTCAGCTTAACTTTTCTGTGAATAGTTGTTATGTAACCAGAGACAGTCTACTGTAACATTAAAAAAAAATTCCATTACAACTGCTTCTGCTTCAAGTTATGAAGCAGGAGGTAATTCAAGCAAACCCCCCCACTGCAGAAAACTAAGAACACTGATAAAACAAAAATCAGAAAACGAGTATGACAATGACTAGCAGTAACCAGGCTGGAAACCAGCTGGGAACCCAGAAACAAGCAAAGCACAGATTTTTGTCCTAAGAGTGCTCTCTTAAATAGAAGATGTAACTGAGAGGCGAAGGCATGTTTTGCCAAGAGTCAAAATCTACAGCCTGCCAAGGGTGAGGAGTCTAGTAACTGGCATCAACTAGGACCCTACAGGGCTGCACCCTAGTAAGAGGGGTGAAATCAGCATTTAAACGGCCCTCCAAATACTCTGCAGTTTGCCTCTGAACCACTTGAGAGGACCAGAAAAATCACAACCCTTAGAACACGGATGGATTAAAGTGGTCTCTCTAGGTACCTGAGAGAAGCAAATAAAAATTCTTCTGGAGAAGGTTAACATCATCATAGGCCTCATGCAATTTAGTAATAGAACCTTATAGATATTCATTACTAAAATAACATAAACTAAGTACAGGGTAATTTTTTTTTAAATAAACCTAATAGTTTCCTCATACCACAGTGATAACTAAAAGCATTCAAAATTTTTAAAACTCCCTTTACTGTTTGTATAAGTTTGGGGGCATTCAGAAATGTAAACAAGAATTTATAAATATGGAACACATCAACTTTCTGTAGTTTGACTATGTCTTCAAAACACCTTATGCATTTTGAGACATCTTTTCTTTTAATCCCTCGATATTACAGATGAGCAAACTTTAAAATGTACTTGCCATGTTTTAAAAACTAAACAGCAATGATTTTATTTTTCAATGTGGTCTATTTTAGCATAGAAGGGACCACACCCTATACAAGAGCATGCAACATTTCTGAAATAAGCAAAAGCAAAAAATGTACCCATTCTGCAATTTAAGCACAGAGTTATAGAACATATACACATTACTCAATATTCTATCTTCTTTACAATTTACCTGAGCTCATTTCCTAAAACTTATTTTCCTTTCCTAGAAATGGAAATTAAAAAATGATTTTAAAATACTATCTTTCAAGCCTCCAACTAATAAAAATAAATGAAAAAATAAAATAAAATAAAATACTATCTTTCAGAAGTTTTACCACTTCAACAATGCTGAAATAGATTTTATTGTCCAAGTAGCTATAAATGATTAACAGTATCTTCTTTCTCTTTTCATACCAATAGTATCTGGGAGGTCTAACAATTCATTGTGCTGCAAGTCAAGGTTGGTTATCTGTGTGCAGTTTCCAATCTCCTTTGGAAGGTGTTCAAGTTGATTGTGAGCTACATCCAGCGTAATGAGGTTACATAATTCACCTGTAAATTGATCAACATAAAAATGTAAGAATTTCTGAGAAATAAAACATTTTATATCATAACTATACTTTTTCTCACAAAGTAAAAGTTAAACAAAACCTGAAACTCTTATTTGAAAATGACATCTTACAAATACTGAACTATGTTGTACAACTGAAGCTAATATATGGTTTTATGTCAATTATACCTAAAGAAAAAAAGAAAATGACATCTGATAATATTAACATGTTGACTGTAAATCATTATCAACCAATATTATATATTTTTAATTAACTAATTTAACCACATTTACATTTGTACATTCTATATTTCAAAAAGAGCTTACTAATTTTTAAATCAAATTCAACACAATAATGTCAGATAGATCTTAATTTGAGGGTCACCTTACCTCAAAATATATATGCTTTCAAATAAGCATGTGTTCTGGTGTTATACAAATATGTAAAGTGAGAGTTATAAATCAAAAACTGCTTCTCAATTTAATATTACTCCAAAAGGATACAAAATAAGGTATTTTTCTCATTTTGTTTGAAAGGACTGTACTGGCAATTTATATTATTCTTAAGTGTTTTTCTGTCTTCAAAAACTTACTTATAAAAGCTAGATTGGCTCTCTCATGATTTTTTCTTTTTTGGGGGGGCAGGGAGAAGTTGGAAGCAAGAAAGAGAAGTAAATAACGTGCATAATACTGAAAAATGGGTGTAGGGCATATTACTGTCACATCCTAAGCAACAAAGAGAAAACAGATTAACTGGATTTCAAAATTGAAAACTTATGTGTATAAAAGACCCTATCAAGAGAATGAAAAGGCAACCCACAGAATAAGGGGAAATATTGACAAATCACATATCTGGGAAGGGATTAACAGCCCAAATGTATAAAGAGCTTCCATAATTCAACAGCAACCAAAAAAAAAAATTTTTTAAGTGGGTAAAGAACCTGAATATTTTCCAAAGATATGCAAGTGGACAATAAACACATGAAAGATGCTCAACATCACTAATCATTAAAAAATGCAAATCAATTAGATAAGATACTACTTGATACCCTTGAAGATGGCTGTAAACAAAAGCAAACAACAAAACAAAACAAATGTTGGCAAGGATATGGACAAACTGGAATCCCTGTGCTTCACCTCCAGGAGTCCCACTGCAGGTTCTCAGAGTGAAGATAAAAGCCCCCTCCTATTCTCACCTAGGCATATCATATTCAAAATCATATACAGAAAATCAAAGATAAAATTCTGAAGGGAGACTGAGGTGGGGGAAGAACTTTACCTATATAGGAACAAGGTAAACACATTGGACTTCTCTTCAGTAATAATGCAGGCAAGAAGAGAATGGAAAGGAATACTTATTAAGTGTTGAGAGAAAAAAAACACCAACCTGAAAGTTTGTATCCAATGAAATTATCCTTCAAAGTAAAGGAGAAATAAAGACCTTCTCAGATAAACAGAGATGAGGGAATTTGTCACCAGAAGACCTGTCTTTCAAGAAATATTAAAGTAAGTTCTTCAGAAAGAAGGAAAATGATGTAAGTCAGAAACCTAGCTCTACATAGAGAAAGAAACAATAGAGAAGGAATAAGATAAAATAAAATCTTTTATTTTCTTACTCTTAATTGATCTAACAGATAACAGTCTGTTCAAAGTATGAAGAGCAACAATATACTGGGTAACTATAGATTAAGGGTGGATGAAATGAATGACAGCAGTGTTGTGAGGGACAGGAGGGAAGAGCTGGGAATGTTCTGTTATAAGCCACCACACTGAGTGCTATAGTGTTATCTGAAGGTGGACTTATATTAGCTGTAAATTTATGCCGCAAACTCCAGGGCAATCACAAACATACATACATACAAACAAAAAAAAGTAATACAAGTATAAATGATATGCTAAGGAGAGAGACAATGAACTAATACAAAATGCTCAATTAAACCCAGATAAGGCAGAAAAATGATGAAAGACAAAAAAAATTAAAAATAGAGAAGATACAGAAAACAGCTCCAAATATGGTTGATATCAATCCAACTAAATCAATAAACACTTTAAATATGAAAGTGAATGAAAGAAATAAAAGACAGAGACTATCAGAGTGGACTTAAGAAACAAGACCCTGCCCCCCCCAAATAGTACAGTCTTTTAAAAACCTATTTTACAGACACAGGTGGATTAAGAATAAAGGGATGGAGAAATACAATGCTAATGTTAATTAAAAGAAAGCTGAAATATTTACACAGATTTCAGACAAAGCCAACTTCAAAGCAAGGAAGATTACCACAGATATAGAAAGCATTACATAACGATAAACCAAACAATTCTCTAATAAAAGCCTTCAAGTGTAAGCAGCTGTTTATCTCCTCCACATATTGTGTAGTACCTAGTACATAGCACCATGTTAACTGAAAGAATAAATGATAACTGAGGAAAATAAGATTTGGATGCTACTACTCCTCACGCCAGAAGTAACAAATATTTTCTGTATTTGCCACAACTTTTCTAATAGTACTCAAAGTTGTTTCAACTCCTATGAAAGTAACTCTCACTACTTTAAAGGAAGATGTACAAATTCAAGTATTTAAGAGTCCCAGCATGTAAATAAAGCAAGTTGAGAGGAGATATGGCTAACTATAGCCTATATGAAACAGATATGATTCAACTCAGCTCAATTAGTGCTATATTACAGGACTCCTCAAACTCAATACTGAAATATTTTAGACCAGATAATTCTTTGCTGTAGAAAGGTGTCCCATGCATAAGCAGCATCCCTGGTCTTTTTAGCCAAAAGATGCCAAGAGCAACTCCCCACCAAGTCATGACAATCATCCAGACATTAACAAATGTCCTTTGTTGTTTAACATTGCCAAAACTGTCCCTGATTATCACTGCAATGTTGAGATGAGAAAGCTCAAATACTGTCCAATCCTTACACTTCTTTGATATAAAATCTAATGTTCAAATACTAACAACTAATTTTTAGGTTAAAATAGAACAAAACACTGTTATCAAACATAACTGTGGGCTTTCCCCCCCCCCACCCCAGTGTTCAGGATGCCAGTTTGATACCCATGAATACAGAACAGATGAATTACCAGTATCTTAGGACAGGAACTTACATACGACTACCTAACATTAAACTAAAAAATAAGTGTTTTTAAAATGCAGAATTACTTTGATTCAAATTAAATCTTTTATGTAAATCACCATCCATATGATAACTGAATTATTTTGAGCATGTATTCTCTCCAGAAAATCATCCTCTTAACAATACAACACTCTGCAACATCAGGAAATCATGTTAACACTGATACATTAAGAAGAATGTCATCAACTAATACTTCTTTCTCACAATCTAGTAATTATGGTTTTGAAAATGCTTAAAACTCAGGAAATGTGATTTAATTTCTTAACAGCATCAGCACACAAAAATAACCTGATTTTTAAGTTTGATCTGTTAGTCCACAAATTACAATAAACTCATGAGTATATTATATATATTGCTGAGTTAAATTTGAAACTTATTTTTAGATTTTCCACAAAACCCATGTATACATTTTAAAAGACACAACAAACATTTTCTCTTAGGAACTTTGAATTTTCTTCAGTCCAATGAAAAAGATCTAAAAAACTTCAGGGACATTTATAATTAATAAAAGATAGCTTCCAGGAAAATCTAAAATATTTTCACAATGAATCCAAAATGTCCTATTAAATGTACAAAACATTTTTAATGTGGAGAGAAAAGAAGTTTAAGATCTCTCTTCTTTAGAGCAACACTCATAACTACTCAAGCTTTTTTCTTCATATTCAAAATAGTCAGAAACATCTGACAATTCTGAATATATGATAAATTTTGTGCCAGGATAAGAGCTTGCATTATAATTCAGAAAAAACAGGATATTATATATTGAAGGCGTTCATAAAATACTTTCACACTTTTTATTATTTCTATACTTGGACCAGTTATCTAGTACTTTTAAACATTTATCTCACTATATATGATCCAAATATTACTTTAAAAATATAAGTTCATCTCAGATGGTTCTAAAGAACAATAATCAATGTCTTAACAGTGACTTGTCTCTGGCTAGGTTTAAGAATGGTTTCTCTTTTCTAATTAATATATTTGTATTTTGTGATTTTTTCCATGTTTTTGTACATTTTTTAATCTAAAGAGGAAAACGGGGGGGTGACAGATTCAAGACATAAACATGAGCAGTCTCTCCTACACTGTACATGAAGAGCAGTTTTCAACCGATAAAGAGAAGTTTCCTGGCTGTGGAGCAGACGTACCTTTTAGTGAAAATGAATGCATCATGTTATCATATTGATGACACAGCCATTAATAGGAGGTATTTTATGACTCACATTCCATACTTAATAAGCAATTTTTTTAAGTTTGACTTCCTACAGAGAGAACAGAGAATTCATTGATCCACCCTACAAATGTTTATTAAGCACCTACTGTGTGCTAGACACTATTCTAGGGATTGAAGATGCAATAGGGAAAAAGAGGGACAAGGCAGGAAAAAAGTTTGCTGCCCTCAGGGAACTTGCATTTTAATAAGGAAAAATAAACAATATATAACCAAGGTGAGACTTTAAGGAGAAAAGGAAAGATATACCCATTTGAATGCAGAGTTTCAAAGAATAGCAAGGAGAGATAAGAAAGCCTTCTTCAGCAATCATTGCACAGAAACAGAGGAAAGCAATAGAATGGGAAAAACTAGAGATCTCTTCAAGAAAACTAGAGATACCAAGGGGAAATTTCATGCAAAGACGGGCTCAATAAAGAACAGAAATAGTATGGACCTAACAGAAGCAGAAGATATTAAGAAGAGGTGGCAGGAATACACAAAAGAATGGTACAAAAAAGATCTTCACAACCCACATAATCAGGACAGTGTGACCACTCACACTCAGCTAGAGCCAGACATCCTGGAATGAGACGTCAAGTGGGCCTTAGAAGGCATCACTACGAACAAAGCTAGTGGAGGTGATG